GTGTATCATCCGAGTTATAATCCCAATAAGTGAAACCGATATGTGTTATGTATTATGACCGAAGTGACTCCCTGTCAATGAGTGAGGACATAACTAGGCATCTGCCACAGCCTACTCAAGCCAACGATATTTGTAAATACTTCCCCTACCACAAACTACGGGAAATTGGGTCAATTACAATACCCAGGTAAGTCCAGCCATACCCACACCTAATTACGTTAGCTGCAGCTAATAGGTAGGGATGAGATTTGACTGGAATTACCAATAGGTCCCGTGACATGTGGGTGATTTACACAAACCCAAGTATCACTACGCATTTCAGATGATGGTGAAATGCTGGATATACGCTCCTTAGGGGCAAACTGTTTTCTAACACACTTGCTAATCAACAGCCACTGTGGAATCTGGAATGGCACCCCTGAAGGGATTTCCAGGGAGAGGCTGCTGGACATCCTGTTGTTAAAAGATAAGTAACACTTGTTAATGTTTTTTTCATGTAGGGAAGTGTACTTATCTAACCAGTTCTCCACACACACACACACACACACACACACACACACACACACACACACACACACACACACACACACACACACACATCAACAGAGGTCACAGCTGGAACTTGAAGACTCAGGTGAATAACAGGGATGTTAGGAAGTATTGCTTCAGTTACAGAGTTGTTAGGAAGTGGAACAGTCTTGGAAGTGATATGGTGAAGGCAGGATTCATACTTAGCTTTAAGAAGAGGTATGATAAAGCTCACGGAGCAGGAAGAGTATGGTAGTAGCAGCCAGTGAAGAGGCGGGGCCAGAAGCTGTGACTCAACCCTTGCAACTACAACTAGGTGAGGTGATTACACACACACACACACACACACAACAACGCACACACACACACACACACACCCACCAACACACACACACACACACACACACACACACACACACACACACACACACACACACAAGACTAGTTCCAGAGCTAAGGGAAAAGTCCTACGAAGAAATGTTAAGGGAAATCGGCCTGAGGACACTGGAGGACGGGAGGGTCAGGGGAGACATGATAATGACATCCAGTATACTGCGAGGAATTGACAAGGTAGACATAGACAAGATGTTCCAGAGATGGGGCACAGAAACAAGGAGCCACAATTGGAAGTTGAAGACTCAGATGAGTCAAAGGGATGTTACGGAGTATTTCTTTAGTCATAGAGCTGTCAGGAAGTGGAATAGTCTGACAAGTGATGTAGTGGAGGCAGGAACTATACATAGCTTTAAGACGAGGTATGATAAAGCTCATGGAGCAGGGAGAGAGGACCTAGTAGCGATCAGTGAAGAGGCGGGGACTAGGAGCTATGACTCGACCCCTGAAACCACAAATAGGCACACACACACACACACACACACACACACAGACAACACACACACACACACACACACACACACACACACACACACACACACACACACACACACACACACACACACACACATGAACTCATTCTCAAGTTACTTAACATAACTTAAGCTAGCAGAGTCAAATCTCACAGGCTAACCTAACCTGAGGTAACTTAATAACCTATAATAACATAACTTATAACAATATCCCCACATTACAATTCTCTCAATATTATTTTCCTAATCACTGACTCAATCCCAAATAACATACACTTAATATACACTTTTGTTTCAATATATTTTTGACCTTGAAAATTTGCTACAACAGCCATGAACAAGGGTTGGTTACCACTAGTCTTAACCTGGATGAGAACTACTGTAGTTCCCACAGTTGTAAACTTGTATACTTCACGGAATATATACACCGAGATGTGTATGTCAGCGTACATATACGCTGAGAGTTTACTCCTTATTTTTAGGGAATAAGGTATTCTTGTCTGGTAGTGAATAGATTACACTCAGCCTTAATGACTCTCGTGTCATAAAGGTCAGTCCACCCCCTTTAAAAATTAAGGTTAAGGGACAAAAAGGAACAATACCGTGACTAGACCAATACACAAATAACCTGTACATAGGAGACAGAAGCTTACCACGGCGTTTCGGTCCGACTTGGACCACTAACAAATGGTCCAAGTAGGACCAAAACGTCGTCGCAAGCTTTTCTTTCCTATTATATATATATATATATATATATATATATATATATATATATATATATATATATATATATATATATATACATATATATATATATATATATATATATATATATATATATATATATATATAATCTTAATCCATATTTCCCTTACGTGGACTGTAAGGTGAATATTCCTTGTACTGAGCAAGCACCTGGCAGGAAACAAACCTATTTACCTGGGTCTTCCGGGGGATCAACGCCCCCCGCTCCCCGGTCATGACCAGGCCTCGGTTTATAGTTTATTTTTTTTTTCACTTTTCGACAATCCACAAACACTTCACACTCTGAAAAAATATTCTTTGTCGGTAGATTTTCTTAAGATATTAACATAATTAGCAAATCCTTTAAGATTAGCTAGAGAACATGTGTGAGTTAAGTCACAAGAACTTTGTACTCTGACCTAAACTGGTCATCAAATATACTGAAATTATTACAAAAATAATATTTATAATTTAAATATGTTTAGATGTGAAACAGACTTCTCTGATATATATCTGGAGTTTACCTGGAGAGAGTTCCGGGGGTCAACGCCCCTGCGGCCCGGTCTGTGACCAGGCTTCATGGTGGATCAGGTCCTGATCAACCAGCCGATCAGGTACTGACTTTAGGTGCCTGTCCAGTCCCTACTTGAAGACAGCCAGGGGTCTATTGGTAATCCCCCTTATGTATGCTGGGAGACAGTTGAACAGTCTTGGGCCCCTGACACTAACTGTGTTGCCTGTTTTGTACATAAATAATTTGGATAACTTTGAAGGTGGGTTAATTTATACACATAAGTGAGTACGGGTGAGTTGGTCCTACCTAATATAAACAAGTAGGCCTACAGCTTTTGCTTACTTTTGCATGTTCGATAATTTGCAACTCCTGTACTTATGTTCTGAGAGGTTATAACTTATCCAATAACTTCAATAACAACGATAACACCTTCTGGCTGCATCACTTTGCATATACATAGTTTTTATTAACTGTTACGCTGAACAATTACATTTAGAAAGGCTGTAGAGGCGTATATCTGATATTTTTGATAAGAAATTACCATTACAATTCGAAAAACCAAAGTAACTCTTAATCACTCTGAGTATGACATTGTATCAAAATGGCTTACAATACCGACAGGTTGGTAGGTAAGATACATAGGCAACAGTTAGGCAACTTTATTCCGAAGCGTTTCGCCTACACAGTAGGTTTCTTCAGTCGAGTACCGAAAGTAGGAAGGAGCAGTAGAGATGTGAAGACGATGTAATCAGTCCATCACCCTCGAAGTTGTGGATTTGAGGTTGTCAGTCCCTCAGCCTGTCGGTATTGTATACCATTTTGGCACTGTCAGACACTGCGACACAATGGCATCTTGGTACAGAAGAGAAAATGCCTTGAACAACTTTTTCATGTGAGAATTGTTGAATCTGAGAGGGACGTGACCTCTCAGTGACTCCATTCTTTCTAGTACCGCTCTGCACCACTCCTTCCGACAGTATATAAGTCTCCACACTGTCGCTTGTTTCAGACACTCCACACAGGAGAGCACAGCGCTAGCACGATCGACACCATGCCTTGCCCTTCTAGGGCAGGGTTGGTGCCAGAGCCCGAGTTTGTAGCTCACAAGATGAGGGGGTTACTTGTGCCTACTCCCATGGGAGACTTAGGTCTCAGACACTCCCTAGACAGGGAGCCAGTGCCGGGCCACCACTTGGAAGGGCCCGGGCCGGGAGAATACCGGCGAATCTTTAACACCAACAGCTTGTTTCAGACTATGGAACAGAACTCTTCTCCAGGCTGAGGGACTGACAACCTCAAATCTCCGACTTCAAGCGTGATAGACTGGTGGTTAACGCTCTCGCTTCACACGGCGAGGGCCTGGGTTCGATTCCCAGCCAGAGTAGAAACATTGGACGTGTTTCTTTCCACCTGTTGTCTATGTTCCCCATCAGTAAAATGGGTACCTGGGTGTTAGTCGACTGGTGTGGGTCGCATCCTGGGACACTGACCTAAGGAGGCCTGGTCACAGACCGGGCCGCGGGGGCGTTGACCCCCGGAACTCTCTCCAGATCTCCAGATAAACACCGTCTTCACATCTCTACTGCTCCTGCCTACTTTCTGTACTCGACTGAAGAAGCCTACTGTGCAGGCGAAACGTTTCGGAATAAAGTTGCCTATGTGAGTATGGCAGTAAAATTTAATAATATTCATATCTTCGATAAAATTTCAAACAGAAATACAAAATAAACCCACACGGGTCCGCCTGTAGCTTCAACCTTACGAGAAAAACGGTGAAAAACGTGTATGCAAGAAAATTTTTAAAACACATTTCCTTTGCAAAAAAACTACCCTAGCAATAACATAAATTTGAAAAGTAAATAACCAAAGAAAAATAAACTACCCAAAATATCTATAAATTTGTATAAATACGACCGTTTTCCTGAGGATTGAACCCTTTAGACGACCACAGTGAGAAAGTTACTGAGATACTAGTATATACTATATAATACTTTGTCATACAATATAGATACTAGTATACATACTAGTATAGATACTAGACACTAGGTTTGTATTGTACTTTTTATCCTATTTCATTTACTTATTCTTATTAAAATTCAGGATAATTATTAAAACTTAAAAAGTCAAATATTTTTTATTTTCACAGGAAGACTTTTACTCAAAAAAGAAACAAGAATTTTAAAGACATAAATACAAATCACTCTAGTGCCTAATACATATATTTGAATATAGAATAAATCCCTAAAAAATGTATATTATAAATATTTTTACCATGATATAAGGTTAACACAGAAGGTCGACTACTATATTATATATATAATATATATATATATATATTATATATATATATATATATATATATATATATATATCTTTAGCTCAAGTACTTTCACACTTCTCATTGCTTCATCAGGAGCTGTGCAATGTTGCAAGGGCAGCAACAGGAGAAAATGAGGAAAGTTTTTTTTTTCAGAGTATGGTAGAGTGAGTGGCACCCGCAGGTACTTCTCTCGGAATGCCTTTGCAACATTACATAGCTCCTGATGACGTACCGAGAATTGTGAAAGTACCAGACCTAAAGATTTCCACCCCGTGGCATATATATATATATATATATATATATATATATATATATATATATATATATATATATATATATATATATATATATTACATAAATTATATATTACATAAATCAAAATAATTAAGTAATTTATGCAGTCTTAAAAATAAAAACTGTAATCAGTTTGTTATTATTAAATATTATTAAATATTCTCAATTACTAGTTGGTTGGTTAATGGGGTTTAAAGCCTATCTACTACACGAGGGTCATTAAGGCTGCAGGTCACCTGTTTACCACCAGTCAAGAATATTTTAATAACTAAAATAGGGAATAAAATATACTCGCAGTGTATATACGCTAAGGGAAATATACCAGCAGGTGTATATATTCTTTATTAAGCCAATATGAGTAAATTTAAAACGAAATTGATCTAAAAAAAAAAAATATATAGTCTTGTCGACCTTCAATACTTTTATCTTAAAATTAAAATATATTATTCTCAAACTTCGGAAGAGAATTAAAAAAAACATTTTTGGATTTTTTTTTACATACAGTATAAAGAATTATGTAAAATTTAAAAAAAATGATAGAGAACTTGTATTTGACCCAAAGGTCTCAGACACTCCCTAAAGAGGGAGCCAAGGCCGGGCCACCACTTGGACAAGGCCCGGGCCGGGAGAATACCGGCGAATCTTTAACTAACTAACCAAACTTTATGAAGTATAATACTGTCTGCACTTCAGTAATGATCCCCCTAATTCTGTGCCTTTCTAAATGAGTAAAAACTTCGTGGTTTCATGTGGTCCTTTATTGACAACGTTTCGCTCACACAGTGTGCTTTATCAAGTCACAAACAGATCTACCTAGGCGAAGAGTACATGTGTATATATAGGGTGGAGAGTGCTCAGGTACTCTCTACCCAGGTATATCTGAGGTACTCTCTACCCAGGTATATCTGAGGTACTCTCTACCCAGGTATATCTGTTTGTGTTGTAATAAACCCCACAGTGTGGGGGAAACGTGTTTAGTAAAACATCACATTATGCTGCATTTATGTGTTTCCATCGTGTGGGTATTTTATATCATGTATCTAACTGAAGAATTAGCCACAAGTACAAACACCTGGATATCTTTAGTTGTAGACGTTTCGCCTTCCAGTGACTTTATGTATTGGTAAAATCACTGGCGCACGAAACGTCTACAAATAAAGATACCCAGGTGTTGCACATGTGGCTAATTCTTCATCTTGTGGGCATTGTATACCATTTATATGATTCTTAAGACACGTTTCTAATACACAGAATCAACACTGACACCTTTTTCTATGTTTAACAACGCATTTACGTCGACACGGCGATCAGAGTGGAGCTACATAATCTACATAAGGCCTAGCCAAAGATACATAAACTTGTAGAAAGAAAATCACGTCTTAGAGTTTCACGGCTCACTTGCCACGAGTTCAATCCCCACCCGTAACGTGGTGGGGAGTGAGCGTCCAATCGCGTCATTACGATTTCGTGAGTCAAAGAAATTGTAGTACACTTTGGGACGTCTATTAACTATAGTTATTGATGTGTCGTCAAGAAATCTATTGGATTCATTGCAAATATTTATACACTCTTGTTGAGGTACGAGGTAATGTAGTGTGGAGGTACAAGGTAATGTAGTGTGGAGGTACGAGGTAATGTAGTGTGGAGGTATGAGGTAATGTAGTGTGGAGGTACGAGGTAATGTAGTGTGGAGGTATGAGGTAATGTAGTGTGGAGGAACAAGGTAATGTAGTGTGGAGGTACAAGGTAATGTAGTGTGGAGGTACCAGGTAATGTAGTGTAGAGGAACAAGGTAATGTAGTGTGGAGGTACAAGGTAATGTAGTGTGGAGGTACAAGGTAATGTAGTGTGGAGGTACAAGGTAATGTAGTGTGGAGGTACAAGGTAATGTAGTGTGGGGTACAAGGTAATAAGTGTGGAGGTACGAAGTAATGTAAGTGTGGAGGTACAAAGGTATAATGTAGTGTGGAGGTACAAGGTAATGTAGTGTGGAGGTACAAGGTAATGTAGTGTGGAGGTACAAGGTAATAGTAGTTGGAGGTACAAGGTAATGTAGTGTGGAGGTACAAGGTAATGTAGTGTGGAGGTACAAGGTAATTAGTGTGGAGGTACAGGTAATGTAGTGTGGAGGTACAGGTAATGTAGTGTGGAGGTACAAGGTAATGTAGTGTGGAGGTACAAGTAATGTAGTGTGGAGGTACAAGGTAATGTAGTGTGGAGGACAAGGTAAGTAGTGTGGAGGTACAAGGTAATGTAGTGTGGAGGTACAAGGTAATGTAGTGTGGAGGTACAAGGTAATAGTAGTGTGGAGGTACAAGGTAATGTAGTGTGGAGGTACAAGGTAATATAGTGTGGAGGTACAAGGTAATGTATGTGGAGGGTACGAGGTAATGTAGTGTGGAGGTACAAGGTAATGTAGTGTGGAGGTACAAGGTAATGTAGTGTGGAGGTACAAGGTAATGTAGTGTGGAGGTACAAGGTAATATAGTGTGGAGGTACAAGGTAATGTAGTGTGGAGGTACAAGGTAATATAGTGTGGAGGTACAAGGTAATGTAGTGTGGAGGTACGAGGTAATGTAGTGTGGAGGTACAAGGTAATGTAGTGTGGAGGTACAAGGTAATGTAGTGTGAGGTAAAGGTAATGTAGTGTGAGGTACAAGGTAATGTAGTGTGGAGGTACGAAAAACAAGGTAATGTAGTGTGGAGGTACGAGGTAATGTAGTGTGGAGGTACAAGGTAATGTAGTGTGGAGGTACGAGGTAATGTAGTGTGGAGGTACAAGGTAATGTAGTGTGGAGGTACAAGGTAATGTAGTTTGGAGGTACAAGGTAATGTAGTGTGGAGGTACGAGGTAATGTAGTGTGGAGGTACAAGGTAATGTAGTGTGGAGGTACAAGGTAATGTAGTTGGAGGTACAAGGTAATGTAGTGTGGAGGTACAAGGTAATGTAGTGTGGAGGTACAAGGTAATGTAGTGTGGAGGTACGAGGTAATGTAGTGTGGAGGTACAAGGTAATGTAGTGTGGAGGTACAAGGTAATGGAGTTTGGAGGTACAGGTAATGTAGTGTGGTAGGTACGAGGTAATGTATGTGGAGGTACAAGGTAATGTAGTGTGGAGGTACAAGGTAATGTAGTGTGGAGGTACAAGGTAATGTAGTGTGGAGGTACAAGGTAATGTAGTGTGGAGGTACAAGGTAATGTAGTGTGGAGGTACAAGGTAATGTAGTGTGGAGGTACAAGGTAATGTAGTGTGGAGGTACAAGGTAATGTAGTGTGGAGGTACGAGGTAATGTAGTGTGGAGGTACGAGTAAGTAGTGTGGAGGTACAAGGTAATGTAGTGTGGAGGTACAAGGTAATGTAGTGTGGAGTACAAGGTAATGTAGTGTGGAGGTACAAGGTAATGTAGTGTGGAGGTACAAGTAATGTAGTGTGGAGGTACAAGGTAATGTAGTGTGGAGGTACAAGGTAATGTAGTGTGGAGGTACAAGGTAATGTAGTGTGGAGGTACAAGGTAATGTAGTGTGGAGGTACGAGGTAATGTGTGGAGGTACAGGTAATGTATGTGGAGGTACAAGGTAATGTAGTGTGGAGGTACAAGGTAATGTAGTGTGGAGGTACAAGGTAATGTGTGTGGAGGTACAAGGTAATGTAGTGTGGGGTACAAGTAATGTAGTGTGGAGGTACAAGGTAATGTAGTGTGGAGGTACAAGGTAATGTAGTGTGGAGGTACAAGGTAATGTAGTGTGGAGGTACAAGGTAATGTAGTGTGGAGGTACAAGGTAATGTAGTGTGGAGGTACAAGGTAATGTAGTGTGGAGGTACAGTAATGTAGTGTGGAGGTACAAGGTAAAGTAGTGTGGAGGTACAAGGTAATGTAGTGTGGAGGTACGAGGTAATGTAGTGTGGAGGTACAAGTAAGTAGTGTGGAGGTACAAGGTAATGTAGTGTGGAGGTACAAGGTAATGTAGTGTGGAGGTACAAGGTAATGTAGTGTTAGAGGTACAAGGTAAATGTAGTGTGGAGGTACAAGGTAATGTAGTGTGGAGGTACAAGGTAATGTAGTGTGGAGGTACAAGGTAATGTAGTGTGGAGGTACAAGGTAATGTAGTGTGGAGGTACAAGGTAATGTAGTGTGGAGGTACAAGTAATGTAGTGTGGAGGTACAAGGTAATGTAGTGTGGAGGTACAAGGTAATGTAGTGTGGAGGTACAAGGTAATGTAGTGTGGAGGTACAGGTAATGTAGTGTGGAGGTACAAGTGTAATGTGTGTGGAGGTACAAGGTAATGTAGTGTGGAGGTACAAGGTAATGTAGTGTGGAGGTACAAGTAATGTAGTTGGAGGTACAAGGTAATGTAGTGTGGAGGTACAGGTAATGTAGTGTGGAGGTACAAGGTAATGTAGTGTGGAGGTACAAGGTAATGTAGTGTGAGGTAACAAGGTTAAATGTAGTGTGGAGGTACAAGGTAATGTAGTGTGGAGTACAGGTAATGTAGTTGGAGGTACAGGTAATGTAGTGTGGAGGTACAGGTAATGTAGTGTGGAGGTACAAGGTAATGTAGTGAGGAGGTACGAGGTAATGTAGTTGTGGAGGTACAGGTAATGTAGTGTGGAGGTACGAGGTAATGTAGTGTGGAGGTACGAGGTAATGTAGTGTGACGGAGGTACAGTAGGTGAGGAAGTGTAATGTGTGTGGAGGTACAAGGTAATGTAGTGTGGAGGTACAAGGTAATGTAGTGTGGAGGTACAGAGGTAATGTAGTGTGGAAGGTACAGAGGTAAATGTAGTGTGGAGGTACAAGGTAATATAGTGTGGAGGTACAAGGTAATGTAGTGTGGAGGTACAAGGTAATGTAGTGTGGAGGTACAAGGTAATGTAGTGTGGAGGTACAAGGTAATGTAGTGTGAAGGTACAAGGTAATGTAGTGTGGAGGTACAAGGTAATATAGTGTGGAGGTACAAGGTAATGTAGTGTGGAGGTACGAGGTAATGTAGTGTGGAGGTACAAGGTAATGTAGTGTGGAGGTACAAGGTAATGTAGTGTGGAGGTACGAGGTAATGTAGTGTGGAGGTACAAGGTAATGTAGTGTGGAGGTACGAGGTAATGTAGTGTGGAGGTACGAGGTAATGTAGTGTGGAGGAAAGGTAATGTAGTGTGGAGGTACAGGTAATGTAGTGTGGAGTACGAGGTAATGTAGTGTGGAGGTACAAGGTAATGTAGTGTGGAGGTACGAGGTAATGTAGTGTGGAGGTAGAGGTAAATGTACTGTGTGAGAGGACAAGGTAATGTAGTGTGGAGGTAGAGGTAATGTAGTGTGGAGGTACAAGGTAATGTAGTGTGGAGGTACAGGTAATGTAGTGTGGAGGTACAAGGTAATGAAGTGTGGAGGTATGAGGTAATGTAGTGTGGAGGTACAAGGTAATATGTGAGTATAGAATGTAGTGGAGGTACAAGGTAATGAAGTGTGGAGGTATGAGGTAATGTAGTGTGGAGGTACAAGGTAATGAAGTGTGGAGGTATGAGGTAATGTAGTGTGGAGGTACAAGGTAATGTAGTGTGAGAGGTAAAGAGTAATGTAGTGTGGAGGTACAAGGTAATGTAGTGTGGAGGTACAGAGGTAATGATGTGTGGAGGTATAGTAATGTAGTGTGGAGGTACAAGGTAATGTAGTGTGGAGGTAAAGGTAATGTAGTGTGGAGGTACGAGGTAATGTAGTGTAGAGGTATGAGGTAATGTGGTGTGGAGGTACAAGGTAATGTAGTGTGGAGGTACGAGGTAATGTAGTGTGGAGGTACAAGGTAATGAGTGTGAGTACAGGTATGTAGTAGAGGTACAAGGTAATGTAGTGTGGAGGTACAAGGTAATGTAGTGTGGAGGTACAAGGTAATGAGTGTGGAGGTACAGGTAATGTAGTGTGAGGTACAAGGTAATGAAGTGTGGAGGTATGAGGTAATGTAGTGTGGAGGTACAAGGTAATGAAGTGTGGAGGTAATGAGGTAATGTAGTGTGGAGGTACAAGGTAATGTAGTTGTGAGGTACAGAGGTAATGTGTGTGGAGGTACAAGGTAATGTAGTAAGGTGTGAGGTAATGCGTTGAGGTACAATGTAGTATGTAGAGGTACGAGGTAATGTAGTGTGGAGGTACAAGGTAATGTAGTGTGGAGGTACAGGTAATGTAGTGTGAGGTACAGGTAATGTAGTGTGGAGGTACAAGGTAATGTAGTGTGGAGGTACAAGGTAATGTAGTGTGGAGGTACAAGGTAATGTAGTGTGGAGGTAACAGGTAATGTAGTGTGGAGTACGAGGTAATGTAGTGTGGAGGTACAAGGTAATGTAGTGTGGAGGTACAAGGTATTGTAGTGTGGAGGTACAAGGTAGTGTGGAGGTATAAGGTAATGTAGTGTGGAGGTACAAGTATTGTAGTGTGGAGGTACAAGGTAGTGTGAGGTAAAGGTAATTAGTTTGGAGGTACAAGTAATGTAGTGTGAGGTACAAGGTAATGTAGTTTGGAGGTACAAGGTAATGTAGTGTGGAGGTACAAGGTAATGTAGTTTGGAGGTACAAGGTAATGTAGTGTGGAGGTACAAGTAATGTGTAGTATGTGGTGAGGTACAAGGTAATGTAGTGTGGAGGTACAAGGTAATGTAGTGTGGAGGTACAAGGTAATGTAGTGTGGAGGTACAAGGTAATGTCAGTGTGGAGGTACAAGGTAATGAGTGTGGAGGTACGAGGTAATGTAGTGTGGAGGTACAAGGTAATGTAGTGTGGAGGTACAAGGTAATGTAGTGTGGAGGTACAAGGTAATGTAGTGTGGAGGTACAAGGTAATGTAGTGTGGAGGTACAAGTAATGTAGTGTGGAGGTACAAGGTAATGTAGTGTGAGGTACAGGTAATGTAGTGTGGAGGTACAAGGTAATGTACTGTGGAGGTACAAGGTAATGTAGTGCGGAGGTACAAAGTAATGTAGTGTGGAGGTACAAGGTAATGAAGTGTGGAGGTACAAGGTATGTAGTGTGGAGGTACAAGTAATGTAGTGTGGAGGTACAAGGTAATGTAGTGTGGAGGTACAAGGTAATGTAGTGTGGAGGTACAAGGTAATGTAGTGTGGAGGTACAAGGTAATGTAGTGTGGAGGTACAAGGTAATGTAGTGTGGAGGTACAAGTAATGTAGTGTGGAGGACAAGGTAATGTAGTGTGGAGGTACAAGGTAATGTAGTGTGGGTACAAGGTAATGTAGTGTGGAGGTACAAGGTAATGTATGTGTGGAGGTACAGGTAATGTAGTGTGGAGGTACAAGGTAATGTAGTGTGGAGTACAAGGTAATGTATGTGGGAGTACGAGGTAATGTAGTGTGGAGGTACAAGGTAATGTAGTGTGGAGGTACAAGGTAATGTAGTGTGGAGGTACAAGGTAATGTAGTGTGGAGGTACAGGTAATGTAGTGTGGAGGTACAAGGTAATGTATGTGGAGGTACAAGGTAATGTAGTGTGGAGGTACAATAAAGGTAATGTAGAGTGTGGAGGTACAAGGTAATGTAGTGTGGAGGTACAAGGTAATGTAGTGTGGAGGTACAAGTAATGTAGTGTGGAGGTACAAGGTAATGTAGTGTGGAGGTACAAGGTAATGTAGTGTGGAGGTACAAGGTAATGTAGTGTGGAGGTACAAGGTAATGTAGTGGAGGTACAAAGGTAATGTAGTGTGGAGGTACAAGTATGTAGTGTGGAGGTACAAGGTAATGTAGTGTGGAGGTACAAGGTAATGTAGTGTGGAGGTACAAGGTAATGTAGTGTGGAGGTACAAGGTAATGTAGTGTGGAGGTACAAGGTAATGTAGTGTGGAGGTACAAGGTAATGTACTGTGGAGGGACGAGGTAATGTAGTGTGGAGGTACAAGGTAATGTAGTGTGGAGGTACAAGGTAATGTAGTGTGGAGGTACAAGGTAATGTAGTGTGGAGGTACAAGGTAATGTAGTGTGGAGGTACAAGGTAATGTAGTGTGGAGGTACAAGGTAATGTAGTGTGGAGGTACAAGGTAATGTAGTGTGGAGGTACAAGGTAATGTAGTGTGGAGGTACAAGGTAATGTAGTGTGGAGGTACAAGGTAATGTAGTGTGGAGGTACAAGGTAATGTAGTGTGGAGGTACAAGGTAATGTAGTGTGGAGGTACAAGGTAATGTAGTGTGGAGGTACAAGGTAATGTAGTGTGGAGGTACAAGGTAATGTAGTGTGGAGGTACAAGGTAATGTAGTGTGGAGGTACAAGGTAATGTAGTGTGGAGGTACAAGTAATGTAGTGTGGAGTACAAGGTAATGTAGTGTGGAGGTACAGGTAATGTAGTGTGGAGGTACAAGGTAATGTAGTGTGGAGGTACAAGTAATGTAGTGTGGAGGTACAAGGTAAATGTAGTGTGGAGGTACAAGTTAATGTAGTGTGAGGTACAAGGTAATGTAGTGTGGAGGTACAAGGTAATGTAGTGTGGAGGTACGAGGTAATGTAGTGTGGAGGTACTAGGTAATGTAGTGTGGAGGTACAAGGTAATGTAGTGTGGAGGTACAAGTTAATGTAGTGTGGAGGTACAAGGTAATGTAGTGTGGAGGTACAGGTAATGTAGTGTGGAGTACAAGTTAATGTAGTGTGGAGGTACAAGGTAATGTAGTGTGGAGGTAAGAAGGTAATGTAGTGTGGAGGTACAAGGTAATGTAGTGTGAGGTACAAGGTAATGTAGTGTGGAGGTACAAGTTAATGTAGTGTGGAGGTACAAGGTAATGTAGTGTGGAGGTACAAGAGTAATGTAGTGTGGAGGTACAAGGTATGTAAGTGTGTAGGTACAAGTTAATGTAGTGTGGAGGTACAAGGTAATGTAGTGTGGAGGTACAAGGTAATGTAGTGTGGAGGTACAAGGTAATGTAGTGTGGAGGTACAAGTTAATGTAGTGTGGAGGTACAAGGTAATGTAGTGTGGAGGTACAAGGTAATGTAGTGTGGAGGTACAAGGTAATGTAGTGTGGAGGTATATCATCTAAGTCACTATATTAAAAAAACATGAATTTGTGACTACAGTTTTGATAGATGTTGGAAAAAAAAATAAGAAACTCAAAAAAATATACCGAAACAATGTCGAACTTTAAAAAAAAGTATACAGACCAAAATAAAAGTAGTTTAGATATACTAAGTAAACTTTTGCGGAAAGAAGTACCCTATTTTCCGGCGTATAAGACGCGCCTTTTTCCCACAAAAAGTCTTGGAAAATCAGCCTGCGTCTTATATGCCGAAGGGTAGGCTTTGGGCTACACTTTAGTGCAAAGTTAGGGAGTAATTGAATATGATAACCAGTCAAGGACCGGGCCGAGGGGGCGCTGACCCCCCGAAATCCCCTCCAGGTATACTCCAGGCACAACGTTATGACACTTCTGTCGTGCGCCTTATATGCCGGAAAACCCGCAATTTATTTGATAGACGCAAGAGCTACCAGTGAGTCAGAATTATATTGTGTCAGGTCAATTAGCATAATGGCGGTGAATATACACTCATCTGTGCCCGTCCACTCTCCTGCTTCACACTACAGTACGTAAACAACTCTGCTGAAGACAACTCGAAGTCATGTAAACAAGATGTGTAAACAAGTGATGTAAACAAGACGTGGTGTAAACAAATGTGGTGTAAAGTTGTAAACACAAGACGTAGTTTCACTAAGATGTGTAAATACATGATGTGGCATAAACAAGACGTGATGTAAACAAGACGAGAACCTAAACAAGACTTGTATAAACAAGACCTGATGTAAACTCGACCCGACATGATACAAACAGGATACGTTACAGTTACGACATTTTATACCGAGGCTTCGTATGGCCCGGTTCAGGAGCCAGGCCGCGGGGGCGTTGACCCCCGGAACAACCTCCGGGTAGATATGAGAGTAGTCCGTTTACATCTCGTTTACTACTGTAAGACTTGCGCTACGGGTAGCAGGATTTCGCTGGAAAAGGGGCTCTGGTTGCAAGGAAGTGGAGATACCCTTCCCTTTTCTCGGATCCAAACTGACTACATCCCATTCCCCAAGCACTGAGTAAACACCGTCGCACTGACCACCGATATAATGATGACACCGGGTACTGGATACAGTTTGGGAAGCCAGAGGGCGACAGTGGCCTTATACAGGAGAGGAAATATAAGGAGGGAGAGTCAGGGACCGACTACCAAACAGATCATCTGTTAGACCACGATTGAAAAGAGCCTCGGGAAGTGCTAAGTTCACCCGACCACACGGAAGTCACCACCTTCCTTCCTTCTACACGCTTCGTCAATCAGTTATTTTTCTTTGCATTCAATGATTTTAAACGAAAACGCTTTTATGCGTATGTTTTAGTAGGATGCACCACCAGATCACCACCAGTCCGTCACCACCACCCCCACCAGTCCACCACCACCACCACCACCAGACCTCCACTATCATCACACCGCCAGATCGAGTTAATATAAACGAGTATTGGTGGAAGACTCATGTGTATTAGTGTTTTGCTAAATCTGGGTTCTATGTGTGGGACCTGTGTGGTCCTGGGACCATTTAGACAAAGTAGGGCTTAGTTTCTGGGACCTGTGTGGTCCTGGGACCATTTAGACAAAGTAGAGCTCAGTTTGTGGGACCTGTGTGGTCCTGGGACCATTTAGACAAAGTAGGGCTCAATTTGTGGGACCTGTGCTGGTCCTGGGACCATTTAGACAAAGTAGGCTAGTTTTGGGGACCTGTGTGGTCTTGGGGACCATTTAGACAAAGTAGGGTTCAGTTTTGGAACTGTGTGGTCTGGGACCACTTTGCGTGAGTTGGGATGTCGGTCCTGGTTTAGAATGTCGTGTGGCCTGTGAGGCTGGTGCCATTAGACAAGATAACGTTAGAGATGAAGTGCTAACTCAGTGAGATTCTACGTGTTCAGATAGACGCCTCAGTGTAGACAAGATAACTACAGTGACAAGATAATACAGTGACAAGTAACTAAGTGACAGTACTGTTTAGACAAGATAACATTTAAAGTATTACGTACACGATAACCACTGTAAGAAGATAACTACAGTGAAAAGATAACCGCACCCCCCCCCCCCCGAAAGTGAGTAGAAATGAAGGCGCTGCATCTGATGGTGAGTGGTGGTGGAGTGGTGGTGGAGTGGTGGGGAACTGGAGTAGAGTGATGGGGGAAGTGGAGGTGAAAATTGGTGGGGGTATGGGATTAAGAATGAACGGTGAAGGAAGGCGAGAGGGGGGGGTTTATGGAGAGGTAGGGGATGGATGGGACAAAGAGTGAAAAGTGAAGAAATGGGAAACGAGGGAAGGGACTGAGAGGAATGGGGAGTGTTATAAGGAGGAAAATAGGGGATTAGGAGGGTGGGAGATAGGGGAGAGGGGGGGGAGGGAGGGAGGGGGGAGGAGTTGTCCGGGCGCGCTGAGATCCGTTATTTTGCAACGAATGGACAGCAACAACAGACAAAAGCAACGGCCGTTAAACGGTATACGGGACACACCACGCAGAGTCAACCACGTCACTCTACACTCTCCTCAAGGGCAAGAAATGTACCTTTTATCAATTTCTATTTCTCCCCACCTGTCTGACCTTTTTGGGGTTATCCTAAGCAATTTACACGTAAGTTGCTACGTATGATAATTTGTTTGAGTTTATGTGTACCTGTACCTGAATAAACTTACTAAGACCTTCGACCATCATACAAAGCTGCCATCTATGAACCTCATCTTAAATCATAACATTCACCCGCCATCTTTGATTTGGTGTATTTGGTCGCCATCTTTGATTGGTGTATTTGGTCGCCATCTTTGATTTGTGTACTTGGTCGCCATCTTTGATTGGTGTATTTGGTCGCCATCTTTGATTTGTGTACTTGGTCGCCATCTTTGATTGGTGTACTTAGTCGCCATCTTTGATTGATATAGTTGGACGCCATCTTTGGTTGGAATATCTGAACGTCATCTCTGGATGCCATCTTTGGGCGTCATCTTAGGACACCATTTCTGAACGCCATCTTTGGACGCCCTCTTTGAAAGCTATCCTTGAACGTCATATTTGAACGCAACCCTTGAACGTCATTTTGGAGGCTATCTTTGGACGTCTAGTTATTGTTCGGACTGAAACCAAATTCACGAGGTACCCTTTCAGGTGAGAGGAGGACGAGTTGCTCCTACGAGACGTCTCCGAAACCATTAACCTGCTCACTGATCGCGTGACAGAACATACGAATGATCGCGTGACTGATCATGCAAATGATCGCGTGACTGATCATGCGAATGATCTCGTGACTACCCGCATGGCTGTTCACATGACTGAGCTTTGATGGGACAGGAGACAAGGTTACTAGCGAACACCCACACTGACCCCAAAGGCTGCTGTCTGGCTGTGTTTTTAGGTGTGTGTTTTTAGAAGTTTGTTTTATAGAGGTTGTTAAGCTGGTTTATTAATTACTATTTTTTTTGATAAAAGATGGACAGTACACGATCACCTGGTGTTCTATTTTTCGGTTAATGTTTAAATTTTAAATTTGTTTAAATCTTTAAAGGTTTAGCTGTACCAAGTTTATTTAATCCATGTTTAAAATGCCTGTTTAATATATATATATATATATATATATATATAATATATATATATATATATATATATATATATATATATATATATATATAATATATATATATATATAAAGGAAATAATAAGTAGAAGAGCAATGTAAACAAAGCAGATGTGGACAGGTAATCGCTGATTGACACCTACGTCGGGAGGTAACCGCTGGTCGAGACCCGGCCATCTTTCACCCAGCAGCCTCTGAGGTGTGTGAACCAACCGACCCAAACAACACATTACCAATTGTTCGCTCAACTTCTGCGGTACCACTTGAGCTTGCTTATCTTTGTCTGTTTCCTCTTCCGGTGTGAGAGTCTGTGATTGAAGGGCGGAAGTTTTCTCTGGGAAGAAAACATCCTGGGAATGCTCTGCAACCTCCGTTGGGGAGGCGGACGCAACCTTGGGCCTCAAAAGAGGCGACGAGTCTCCACTTCTGGCCCAAAAGTCTACATCTTCTGCCACTTCGGATGGAGTCTCCAGGGGTTTGGAGTCAGTGTACGTCGAAATGGATCGGCCAGCCCAAAAGTCTCCCGATAAAGTTTCGCTTTCATCAGGTAGAAGTTCTTTGCTCTCTTTAATAGCTCCTCAAACAGCTGGACAACGTCATCTGATGTTTCTCTAGCTTCGGTAGACTCTACTGCAGCCTCGGGTATAATTTTTGGTCTCAGAGGGAGAGACTCTCTTCTAGACCAGAAGTCCGAGGGAAGACCAGCATCCTCAGCAGCAGTGTCTGGAGGAGATGGAGTAGATTCCTCAACCTTTATATGTGGTCTCACAGACGGTGATGTCTCCCTTGTCCCCAAAATATCAGTTTCTTCAACTTCTTTGGCATCTGCAACTTTCTTGACTTTGGATTCATCGGTAAAGTGAGAGGGAGCGGCCTCAGTTTTCGTTATAGCTGCTACGTCAGCAGGCAGTGAAGGAGTGTCTTCAACCTGTGTAAGAGGTCTCCTCAACGGTGGTGAAGAATCTCTAGATCCCCAAACATCAATTTCTTCTGTCTCAGCAGCAGAAGTGTCTTCAACTCCTGGCTCTCGAATGGCCTCTTCTTCAACTTTTACGACAAGTCTGCTCAGTGGTGGCGAGGAATCTCTAGATACCCAGACATCGATTTCTTCTTCAGCAGCAGGAGTTTCAACTTCTGGCTCCTTAATGGCTTCTTCCAGTAGTGGACTTTCTTCAGCCTGTACAACAGGTCTCCTCAATGGTGGTGAAGATTCTCTGGATCCCCAAACATCAATTTCTTCTTCAGCAGCAGGAGTTTCAACTTCTGGCTCCTTAATGGCTTCTTCCAGTACTGGAGTTTCTTCAGCCTGTACAACAGGTCTCTTCAATGGTGGTGAAGAATCTCTGGATCCCCAAATATCAATTTCTTCTTCAGCAGTAGGAGTTTCAACTTCTGGCTCCTTAATGGTTTCTTCCAGTAGTGGACTTTCTTCAGCCTGTACAACAGGTCTCCTCAGTGGTGGCGAAAACTCTCTGGATCCCCAAACATCAATTTCTTCTTCAGCAACAGGAGTTTCAACTTCTGGCTCCTTAATGGCTTTTTCCAGTAGTGGAATTTCTTCAGCCTGTACAACAGGTCTCCTCAATGGTGGTGAAGATTCTCTGGATCCCCAAACATCAATTTCTTCTTCAGCAGCAAGAGTTTCAACTTCTGGCTCCTTAATGGCTTCTTCCAATACTGGAGTTTCTTCAGCCTGTATGACAGGTCTCCTCAATGGTGGTGAAGATTCTCTGGATCCCCAAACATCAATTTCTTCTTCAGCAGCAAGAGTTTCAACTTCTGGCTCCTTAATGGCTTCTTCCAATACTGGAGTTTCTTCAGCCTGTATGACAGGTCTCCTCAATGGTGGTGAAGATTCTCTGGATCCCCAAACATCAATTTCTTCTTCAGCAGCAAGAGTTTCAACTTCTGGCTCCTTAATTGCTTCTTCCAATACTGGAGTTTCTTCAGCCTGTATGACAGGTCTCCTCAATGGTGGTGAAGATTCTCTGGATCCCCAAACATCAATTTCTTCTTCAGCAGCAAGAGTTTCAACTTCTGGCTCCTTAATGCTTCTTCCAATACTGGAGTTTCTTCAGCCTGTATGACAGGTCTCCTCAATGGTGGTGAAGATTCTCTGGATCCCCAAACATCAGTTTCTTCTTCAGCAGCAAGAGTTTCAACTTCTGGCTCCTTAATTGCTTCTTCCAGTAGTGGAGTTTCTTCAGCCTGTACAACAGGTCTCCTCAATGGTGGTGAAGACTCTCTGGATCCCCAAACATCAATTTCTTCTTCAGCAGCAGGAGTTTCAGCTTCTGGCTCTTTAATAACTTCTTCAGGTGGTGAAGGAGTTTCTTCAACTTTTGTGACAGGTCTCCTCAGTGGTGGTGAAGATTCTCTGGATCCCCAAACATCAATTTCTTCTTCAGCAGCAGGAGTTTCAACTTCTGGCTCCTTAATGCTTCTTCAGGTAGTGACATGGAGTTTCTTCAACCTGTTGACAGGTCTCCTCATGGTGGTGAAGATTCTCTGGATCCCCAAACATCAATTTCTTCTTCAGCAGCAGGAGTTTCAACTTCTGGCTCCTTAATGGCTTCTTCCAGTAGTGGAGTTTCTTCAGCCTGTATGACAGGTCTCCTCAATGGTGGTGAAGATTCTCTGGATCCCCAAACATCAATTTCTTCTTCAGCAGCAAGAGTTTCAACTTCTGGCTCCTTAATGCTTCTTCCAATAATGGAGTTTCTTCACCTTATGACAGGTCTCCTCAGTGTGGTGAAGATTCTCTGGATCCCCAAACATCAATTTCTTCTTCAGCAGCAAGAGTTTCAACTTCTGGCTCCTTAATGGCTTCTTCCAATACTGGAGTTTCTTCAGCCTGTATGACAGGTCTCCTCAATGGTGGTGAAGATTCTCTGGATCCCCAAACATCAATTTCTTCTTCAGCAGCAAGAGTTTCACTTCTGGCTCCTTAATGGCTTCTTCCATACTGGAGTTTCTTCAGCCTGTATGACAGGTCTCCTCAATGGTGGTGAAGATTCTCTGGATCCCCAAACATCAATTTCTTCTTCAGCAGCAGGAGTTTCAACTTCTGGCTCCTTAATGGCTTCTTCCAGTAGTGGAGTTTCTTCAGCCTGTACAACAGGTCTCCTCAATGGTGGTGAAGATTCTCTGGATCCCCAAACATCAATTTCTTCTTCAGCAGCAGGAGTTTCCACTTCTGGCTCCTTAATGGCTTCTTCCAGTAGTGGAGTTTCTTCAGCCTGTATGACAGGTCTCCTCAATGGTGGTGAAGATTCTCTGGATTCCCAAACATCAATTTCTTCTTCAGCAGCAGGAGTTTCCACTTCTGGCTCCTTAATGGCTTCTTCCAGTAGTGGAGTTTCTTCAGCTTGTACAATAGGTCTCCTCAAAGGTGGTGAAGACTCTCTGGATCCCCAAACATCGAATTCTTCTGCTGCTTCAGCAACTTCAGTTTCTTTAACTACAAGATCTCCTGTATCCACTATTTCAGTAGGTGAAGTAGTTTTTTCAGCCTTTCCGACATCGATTTCTTCTTCATCGGCAGGAGTGTCTTGAACTGCTGTGTCTTCAATAGCCTCTTCTTCAGGTGGTGAAGGAGTTTCTTCAGCCTGTACAACAGGTCTCCTCAATGGTGGTGAAGAATCTCTGGATCCCCAAACATCAATTTCTTCTTCAGCAGCAGGAGTTTCAACTTCTGGCTCCTTAATGACTTCATCAGGCGGTGAAGGAGTTTCTTCAACCTGTACGACAAGTCTCCTCAATGGTGGTGAGGAATCTCTGGATCCCCAAATATCGATTTCTTCTTCTTCAACATGAGTGTCAACTTTTGGCTCTTCTGTGATCCCTTCTTGAGCAGATGGTGAGGGAGTTTCTTCAACTTTTTTTGCAAGTCTTCTCAATAGCGGTGAAGAATCTCTAGACCCCCAGACTTCAATTTCTTCTTTTCCTGCAGCAGGAGTATCTTCAGCTCCAGACTCTTTGACAGCCAATTCTTCAGCAGGTGGTGAAGAAATTTTTTCAGCTTCTACAACAGGTCTTCTTAGTGGTGGTGAAGCCTCTCTTGACCCCCAGATATCAAATTCTTTTTCCTCTTCTTCCTCAGCTACATCTTGTAATTCTTCATCTTTAAAACTTTTGCGTCTCTTTGGCGGTGGAGAGAGATGTTCCTCCTCATCAAGTGCTTCATGTGCCTCTTCTGTCACAACCTTATACACAACTTTGGTTTCTGAGTCAAACCATCTTTCAAGTAAGGCTTCGTCTGTTGACTCTTCTGCTACTTCTGGCGGAGCCTCATCGGTACCACGATCAATGTAATCTTCTTCTTCATCAATAAATGGCACTGCTCTCCTGGGTCTCAAGGGTGGTTTGGAGCTGTAGCTCCAAATACCGGCTTCTTCTTGTCTAATCTCCTCTTCGAAAATCTTCTCTTCAGTGCTCTCCTCATAATGAAATTCGGTTGCTGGCTTCTCACTCCTCGGAGGAACAGAAGTGTCTTTCAATTTCCAAAAACTATCTTCCTCCTCCGTCTTTTGCAACGATTCTAAAACGACGACGCGCGTGTGAGAATCTTCCACACCAAACCACCTTTCAACTAAATCTTCGTCACCGTCGTCTGTCTGGTAAGTTTCCTTTGTCTCATCCCTGTCAACTTCTTCCTCTTCCTCGAACTCTACTTTAAGCCTCCGAATAGGTGGTGGAGAGTCTCCAGCAACCCAAAAGTCATCAGAGTCTTGCTCTTCCTCGGCCTCATCTTCAGCAACCGCTTCTTCGGCTGATGGTGGAGTACCTTCTTCAACTTCGATAAAAGGTCTCGTCCTTAGTGGAGGCGAAGTGTCTCTGGAGCCCCAGATATCAATATCTTCTTGAAGAACTTCGTGCTTTGTTTCATCGGCTCCAGCCTGAACTTCAGGTTCTTCAATGGCTTTTCCTTCTGAAGGTGGTGAAGGAGTAGCTTCTGTAGTTTCTATGATGGGCCTTATCCTTAATGGAGGTGAAACGTTTCGTTGACCCCAAATGTCCACCTCTTCGGGTTTTTCTGCTTTAGATTCATCTTCAGCTTCCTCACCAGCCGCTTCTTCGGAAGGTGATGGAGTTTCTGCCTCAGCTTCTCCGGTAGGTCTTATTCTCAATGGTGGAGAAGAACCTTGCGACCCCCAAATATCAATTTCTTCACCAGCCGCTTCTTCGGCAGGTGATGGAGTTCCTGCCTCGGCTTCTCCAATAGGTCTTATTCTCAGTGGTGGAGAAGAACCTCGCGACCCCCAGATATCAATTTCTTCCTCTGGGAGGCCAGGTTCAGCCTCCTCAGCGGTGGTCACAGAGCCTTCCTGTGCTTTCTGCAAAGTCTGTTCCTCCTTAACTATGCTTGTGATTCTGGCCTTCTTTATGGGTGGAGATAGGTCTCTCTCGCTCCAAATGTCCTCTATTGTCCCATGAGGCTCCTGTGAGAATTGTGGTGTCAGAATTCCCACAAAACTTTATTTACAAAGTTCTTCTTGAAAATATAAAAATAGGATTTAGTGTTTTAAATACATTGCTGTGTTACTAACTAAAAGAACTATAACAAAAGCCCTGGGAGAACTGAGGTTTAATATTTATTAAAAGTTATTCATCAAGAATATTTATAAGTGCTGTTTACAGTATTCTGAATATTTATGAAATGGTAATTAGAAAATATTAGCGTGTACCGCCAATATCTATTGTAATCCTCACCCAAAAAAATATTTTAAATTACGTGTTTAAAAGATAATGCTTCCAGCAGTCTCATAAACATTATATACAAATATAAAAAACACAAAATTATACTATATATATATATATATATTATATATATATATATATATATATATATATATATATATATATATATATATATATATATAATTCTCTTATAGATGCGCATTTAAGAAAAACTAATGTAAGTGAAAAACGAAAATTGGAGATTAAGAAAATCTCCTTCAAAGTAATATACTATTCGTAAAAGGTGAATATTTAAGAATCGAATAATAATATTACATATATATAGATTGCATATTATTTAAAGTTCATCCCAGAAAGAGGGGGGGGGTGAAAAAAGCTTGAAACAGAAAATAAAACAAAATAAAAACTGTCTGTAAATTGGAAGATATTTTATGTTTAAGAAATGGCATTAAGGCAGGTGAATATAAGTACTATTAAAAACAGATATAAGTAGAGATTTCTTTATAAGTAATGTTATGTACAGACGTTATGGGCGATCCTCCCTAAGTTTTGAACGGGAGATTCAACTAAAATACCCTTAGATGTACTCTTACAAACTAGTGAGTACTCACAAGACCTCATATGTACTTACATAGATTGCCTCATAATGACTCACACTACCATACAAGTACTCACACTGACTCACTGGTACTCATGCAGCTTATTAAAGGACTCGCCTAACCTAAGAGGTACTCACACAGCCCCTTAAGTACTCACACACACTAAGACAAATGCACAGTTAATCACACGACTGACAGACTAAAACAAAAAAACTGCCTAATGTGAATGAGATTTGGGACAGGTAATGTTATTAGATTTAGACGAGTTAACCCCTGCAGGAAGCTAAACAGAAAACGGGACTGAGAACTCCACCCACTTCTCTCCGTTAAAAATGCTGTATAGTCCTTGTGGCTTAGCGCTTCTTTTTGATTATAATAATAATAATAACTCTCCGTTAAAAATATTTCTAACTGTCAAAGAAATATTGTATCACTTTCTGTCGTGCCCATCACAGTCTTTCTAGCTTTTCTGGGGACTTAAGGGGATGAATGGGATCTTTGGACTTAGTGTTATGACAGTTAAAGCACCGTAATCTCTTAATATCTTCATGGAACACGTTTCGGTCCTGGGACCCTTCTGGTCACTCCAATATACCCTAAGTACATTCACTAGTGTTACTTCTTCCAGTATCGTTGTACCTTCACCTATGCCTCAAACTGCACCTAAGTTACACCTGCCGCTACACATTCACCTACACTTACACCAATACCACAGATTATTATTATGAGTTTTAGTTTTCCAAGTTACTTTCTATATACAAATAAGACAGCGATTACAGAAGAAATTGTAAGTGATTTAACTAAGAATGAAAATAAACGTGACGAATTTAATTAGAAGCTATTGTAATAATGTTAGAGTACAACGGTCACAGAACTGCGCAGGAAGCCGACTGATGTACTGAAAAAAAGTAAATACCTGCTACAAAGACGCTTTTGCCAAATTGTAAACAATGTCTTTGTAAGTACGGGTTACAGAAAAGCGAAAAGTTTGTTTCAATGCAAAGAGGAGAGTTTGATAAAGTTGGTGCGGGAGAGTCCGTCAGTGGAAAAAAAAAAGCAGTGGAAGTATATGTTGAAGATTGAGACACTTATGCAGCATATGGGAATCTTTATTCAGGAAACGTTTCGCCACACAGTGGCTTCATCAGTCCAATACAAAGAGGAAGGCGTAAGGAGAGGAGGAGAATGAGGTAATCAGTCCCTCAACCTGGAGTCGATGGACTGAACACATCGACTCCAGGTTGAGGGACTGATTACCTCATTCTCCTCCTCTCCTTACGCCTTCCTCTTTGTATTGGACTGATGAAGCCACTGTGTGGCGAAACGTTTCCTGAATAAAGATTCCCATATGCTGCATAAGTGTCTCAATCTTCAACTTGTCGGTTTTTCAAACCATTCATCACAATGGAAGTATATAACAGATAGCCTCGCGCGGATGTTAAGAGGAAAAGAAAAAGTCAGAGGAGCGGAAAATTTCCTGTTTCGCGAATGGGTTTTAAGACAAGCTGTTTGTTCACATTGTTTACGTTATTCACGCGTCCCGTCAAGACGATGGCGTCATACTAAGTGGTGAATCGCTCAACATTAAAAAACCTTAAACATTCCTAGATTATTATTATGCTATCTATATTTTTCTTTTTGGGAGGGGGGATTTATTAGAGGGGAAGGCGGGCTTATTAGTTGCACCGAAAAGTTTATTTTGATCACGTGAAACAAAAGTTATTAAAGTTATTCTGTCCTAAGAAATTTGGCAGGTGCCTCTGTAGCAGATAGTGATGGGCGCTATACTGACTGACTGGCTGAATGATTTCTATCAAATCATCATTACCCTCGTTCTTCTGGGTCTTTTACTGGGCAAAGGAGTAGGAACAAGTTCTTTGCCCTTCTCGGTGCCTCCTTTCAGTCGAGGGGCCGAATCCCTACTTACTAGAGGCAATGAACTCTTCTTCACTCCTTTAGCTTTCATTCTCTGTTGCATCTCTGATACGCTTTCAGTTTTACCCTCAGCTGAAGAAGCGTCTCTGAGGGAGACGTCTCTTGTGCTCTCTAGGACCGGGAGATCACTGCCAGTTCCTGGTATCACTCGTCTGGCAGGGTCCCAACCCTCGTACCTCTTGTTCATGCTCCCTATACCTGATCTCTGGAGTTCTGCTTCTTTTTGGATGTCTGTGGTGGACTTAGCTGCTCTAGCTGCCTCTACACCTAAATGAGAGGACCGCCCAGTGGTCCACGAGTACCATCCATGCACGGACCTAGCGGGTGTGGACCTGCTTCTTCCACTTTTGGTCCTCGGGCGAGCATTGGACCTGGAGTCACAGAAGGCTACTCTTCTGCTGATATTCCCACAGTGCGCTTTGCTCGAAGGGTCTACCATTTGGCCAAAGAAACATATTACTCTCACTGGTGACGGCTGCCTCACGTCGCTGTCAAACCACACATCTAGATTCTCGTCCTTTTCTTCATTGTCAGGAGGCAGTTGCACTCGAAAGCGTCTGTACTTCTGCATCACCTTCTCAGCATCAGCTGTTAAGGCTAAGCTAGGAAGAGATCCTGTAATATCTTTACTCCTGGACGCTTGTAGTCCCTGGGTGGAATATCTCTGCATGACTGGAAGATCAAGAGCCTCGTATGTTAGCCGAGGACGGCTTACTGAATCTCGACGGCTATCTGCTGAGAAAACCTTACCGGGACTCTTAATTGAATTATGAAGACTCTTTGATGGGCATACTGTTGTAGAGGTTGGCTGGGGATCAGACTTGCCCTTGTCACAAGGTCGAATAATGGAGTCCTCTTGTTTGCTAGTCTTTCTTGAGCTTATGGTAGAAGTCTCTACTCGATCTCCCCATAAATCAATTTCCTCGAGTGATTTCATTTCTTTGGAGTTTGTATTACTAATGACTGCCACTTTTGTCTGGTTAGATGCTGGGTCACTCAGAGCAACTTGTACTTCCTCTGCTTTACTGTCCTTGACTGTCATTCCTTCCCTCTCAATATTTTCACCCCTTTTAACTGTTGATTCAAGATTATTTTCGGATTCTTTAGGGTTTCCTTCACTAGAGGGAAAAGTCGACTCAGATCTAGATTGGTTTTCTTCCTTTGGTGGGATGCAGGATTGAGATCCGCCTGCGTCTTTTTTCCTGAGGGAGTTCTCCAGTTCGTCTTCGACTACAATAAATAAAGATTTCCGGTGTCGTGGTGGGGAAGAAATTTCCTTCTCTCCCAAAAACATCGCAATCCAGTCTCCTCCTTCGTTTTCTATTTTTTTGTAAGGTTTTGATTCTTCATTTAAACGTTGAGGTGTTGCAAGTGTATCATCCTCAACAGCTCCTGAGTGCTGATCCACCTCTAGACATGAATTCAACGTGTGTTGCTGTGGCTCCACTGACTTCTTTTTAGTCAAATCCTTCTGCTTGTCCTTCCCGCCGAGGGTTTCCTTCCCGTTCTTGGCCAAACTTTCTTCCTGAACTACACTCTTGGCTGTTCCTTCACTTGGTTTCGCTTGCTCGCTAGCATCACGGGTCTCCTGATCTGGAAGATCACAAGTGTCCTTCACATCACTCAGGACTCCAAACCCTGATGATGGAGAGTCGACGTCTCTTCCTCCCGAGACGTTGATTTCATTCATTTTCACATCTACGTTTGACTTTATCTCCTTGTTTTCCGCTTGAAGTGTGGCTAGAAGTGCGCGACGTTGAGTGTACGTTAGTTTTCTACCACTGCCCTTGGCCAGCGTGCTGCCAGAGTGTGTTTTCTGCGCCATATTCTTGACCTCTGGGTTACTAACCTTTATGTTGCTGTGGCTAACACTCTGATCCTTGGGTTGACTCCAGGATCCTGTTTTATCTCCACTGACCTTGCTCCTTTCTGTCGAATTAATAGAAAGCTGCTGGTTCACCTCTGGCCCAGGAGCAACGTCCGGCTGCACCACTGGTTGCCCACTTCCCACAGTTAAATGTCTCTTGACTGCCAAGGAATCGATCTCATCACTATTCTCTACCAGACTTTCTGCTTTCAGAGACTGCAGTCTCTGGGTTTCCAATTTTCTAATACTCCATCCCACTTTCTCGACATTTTTAGTTACACTATCTTCTTCTCTCGCTGGCAATCCTCTCTTAATTTCAGATTTTTTGCAATTTGTTGCATTTTTCTGAGAGTTTGCAGTTTCCCTGACCTCAGCACTGAGTACAGCTGTGTCAGACATTGGTGTGAGGTCGAGAGTGTTGTTAGTGTCACCAGGCTGTGTCAAGGAGTATTTACTGTCCTCGTTATTCTCGCCTTTTCCTCCTCCTCGTTTAAGTGAGTCCATCTCTTTCTCCTTTATAGTATTTTCTTTCGCCTCTCCAGTGACCTCAATCCTTGGAGGTTCTCCTCGCTGCCTCCTCGCTGCCTCCACTGCCTCTCTCGCCGCTGTTAGTAGTGACAGTGATTCGTCCTTCATAGACCAGAAATCGCCCGATTTTTCCATTTTAGTTTCTTCTTTTATCCTTCTTCCAGCTTTCTCTTCATCCCCTTTCTTATCATTACATTGTTTCGGCTCTTGGTGTTTATTTCTTCCCTTGAGTTTGTCATCTTCCCGTCTGTTACGTCCACCTCACCAACACTTGCGTTAAATTCTTGTGAGTCAGGGATCGTAAGTACCGGCTTACGTCGTAATGGTGGAGATAATTCAGGTCCTATCCAGAACCCATCATCATCAAACGTCTCCCTGTCATTCACGTTATTCTTTTTCTCGCTTTCCACAGTTCCAGGATTATTTCCAGGAGGCGCTTGGGATACCTGAGATGGCCCAGCGTCCGTCACAGCAGATGGTGAGTTATTTTCCTGGACCTCCGTAGGTGCTCCCTCTTGTCTCTTGCTTGCTGCTTGTGTCCTCAGTGGGTCACTGTCTCTTTCCTCAGCGATGTTTCCCCCACAATGTGGTTTCTCTTTTTCCTTCAGTACTCTCGAGGCGAACTTGCGGTTTTTGCTGCCTGCTTCAAGAGCCGTTGTAGACGTCGTCAGCGGTAGTTCCTCAGGATCTGTGAGAGTGCCTCGTGCCTCGTCAGTGTCTTGCATCTTGGCACTCTCCAGTGATCCCCGTGGAGACAGACTTCTCGCCTTTCCTCTTTTATTTACTTTTAAAAGATCTGTATCTCTAATGCAACTTTTTGCAGAGCTCTGTTTATTCTTTAACTTTTTGTCTCTCTTTGGCGTTTCCGTTTTTACTTCACCAGGAGCTTTATCCTGAGTGTTTGAATTTCCATCTTTATCTGTTTTTGATTCATTTGTGTTATTTATACCTTCGCTTCTTTCATTTATGTTTTCTTCTGGTTTCGTGGTTTCGCCCATGGCCATATAACCAAAGGAGAATGTTGGTCTGCTTATTGGCGGCGACGTCTCGCGATCAGCCCAGAAGTCAAAATTTTCCTCTTTTTTATCACATGCTTTATCAGCCACATCTTCCTCCACATTCATTCTTACATCTGTATCTTGTTTAGTATCCGTTTCCAGCTTTGTCGCAGTTGCTTCAAGTCCTGTCGGCCTCATCTCCCCACTCAGAGAACGATCCTCTTCCCAGGCTCTGTCTTGGATGGTGTCAACTTGACGCATCTCAACAGAGGAGTCTTCAGCCCCACCTGGAAGCTCGATCTCATGAAGCTTCTGCTTGCACTGGGTATCACAGTCACTCTGTGGACAAACCTCACTTACAGGTTGCACAGTCGTCAAGGGCTGCTCCCACTGAGACCAGAAATCAACTTCTTCCTCCCACTGGATCTCATTGACTTTTTTCTTTGCATCTGTGTCTTCGGGAAGTTCGCGGGACTGAGAAGGTGAGTCTGTGAAGGTCTTCAAAACTTTACTCTTCTCTAAGTTCTCCAGTGTCGCTTTCTCATCCCTCTCTGTGAGCTCCAACTTCTGTGTTTCGTCCTTAAGTAGCCTATCTCCTTTCTCTCCACTTTTCCAGTTACCTCTCTGAACTTCGCTTCTCCTTTGCCCAGTAGCAGAACCAGCAAATCCACCATGGAAAAATCCAAGGCCCTTTATCCCTCCCTTGACATCATCTTTAACATTCTCTTTGCCTCTAATCTCGGCTTCTGCGACTTCCATGGGATAGACTTTCTCAGACTTAACTACACAGGCGGTGGGATCCGTCAAGCGAGCCTCGGACACGATGCTATCGTCTGCCTTCAACAGTCCTCCAGCAAGGTCCTGCCGGGTACGTGAACCAAGGTTTTTGGACCATCTCAATAAATATTTTTTTTTTGTACATAAGCTATTCGTAAAAGGTGAATGACTGATGCTTGCTGGAGAATAAAAGTCATATTACCGTGGCTGAAACAATTCACAACCAGCCCACAAATTGGAAATTAAAACAGGAGGGTGTTTCGCTCCGATCCTGGAACATTATCAAGAAGCAAGTAATTTAACGGTCCAGGACCAAACAATCCTCCATCTTTCAATTCCTATTTGATGTTTAATTGTGTTTTGCGTAAACTAATCGTGAGGAATATCTGAATAAACAATATTTTCGTTAGATAATCGAAATGTTTATATAAATAAGAGTCATGGTATCGTAAGATATTTTAATAATAATAATAATAATAATAATAATAATAATAATAATAATAAATCATTCAGTGATATGTTTAAATAATTCAAGGCTGAGAAATATAAATGGCACTGTTTACAAATATAAGAGGTGAGTCGTAGCAGCAATCAGCTGATCGTGAGTCGTAGCATCAATCAGCTGATAGTGAGTCGTAGCATCAATCAGCTGATCGTGAGTCGTAGCAACAATCAGCTGATAGTGAGTCGTAGCATCAATCAGCTGATCGTGAGTCGTAGCATCAATCAGCTGATAGTGAGTCCTTGTAGCACTCAGCCGATCGTGAGCCGTAGCAGCAATCAGCTGATCGTGAGTCGTAGGAACAATCAGCTGATCGTGAGTCGTAGAAACAATCAGCTGATCGTGAGTCGTAGCAGCAATCAGCTGATCGTGAGACGTAGCAGCAATCAGCTGATCGTGAACCGTAGCAGCAATCAGCTGATCGTGAGTCGTAGGAACAATCAGCTGATCGTGAGTCGTAGCAGCAATCAGCTGATCGTGAGTCGTAGCAGCAATCAGCTGATCGTGAGACGTAGCAGCAATCAGCTGATCGTGAACCGTAGCAGCAATCAGCTGATCGTCAGTCGTAGCAGCAATCAGCTGATCGTGAGACGTAGCAGCAATCAGCTGATCGTGAACCGTAGCAGCAATCAGCTGATCGTGAGTCGTAGCAGCAATCAACTGATCGTCAGTCGTAGCAGCAATCAGCTGATCGTGAGACGTACCAGCAATCAGCTGATCGTGAACCGTAGCAGCAATCAGCTGATCGTGAGTCGTAGCAGCAATCAACTGATCGTCAGTCGTAGCAGCAATCAGCTGATCGTGAGCCGTAGCAGTAATCAGCTGATCGTCAGTCGTAGCAGCAATCAGGTGATCGTGAGTCGTAGCATCAATCAGCTGATCGTGAGTCGCAGCAGCAATCAGCTGATCGTGAGTCGTAGCATCAATCAGCTGATCGTGAGTCGCAGCATCAATCAGGTGATCGTGAGTCGTAGCATCAATCAGCTGATCGTCAGTCGTAGCAGCAATCAGGTGATCGTGAGCTGTAGCAGCAATCAGCTGATCGTGAGCCGTAGCAGCAATCAGCTGATCGTGATTCGTAGCATCAATCAGCTGATCGTGAGTCGTAGCATCAATCAGCTGATCGTTATTCGTAGCATCAATCAGCTGATCGTGAGTCGTAGCATCAATCAGCTGATCGTTATTCGTAGCATCAATCAGCTGATCGTGATTCGTAGCATCAATCAGCTGATCGTTATTCGTAGCGTTAATCAGCTGATCGTGAGTCGTACCATCAATCAGCTGATCGTGAGTCGCAGCAGCAATCAGCTGATCGTGAGCCCTAGCAGCAATCAGCTGATCGTGAGCCCTAGCAGCAATCAGCTGATCGTGAGCCATAGCAGCAATCAGCTGATCGTGAGTCGTAGCATCAATCAGCTGATCGTGAGTCGTAGCATCAATCAGCTGATCGTGAGTCGTAGCATCAATCAGCTGATCGTGAGCCCTAGCAGCAATCAGCTGATCGTGAGTCGTAGCATCAATCAGCTGATCGTGAGCCCTAGCAGCAATCAGCTGATCGTGAGCCCTAGCAGCAATCAGCTGATCGTGAGTCGTAGCATCAATCAGCTGATCGTGAGCCCTAGCATCAATCAGCTGATCGTGAGTCGTAGCATCAATCAGCTGATAGGCTTTTGTTTACTCACCTGCACTTGAAGTTCTTTTCAAATTTGGGTCAATTTAATGTTATAACTAAAAAAAGTACATATGAAAAAAGTCATAAAAATAAAAATAAAAATACTAAGTACAAAATTATTATTATTATTATTATTATTATTATTATTAAGCTACAAATAATATTAATAGCAATATCTATCTAGCCGCAAGCGGGTGGTAATTTTTTTCCAGTTGTAAAATAGACGAACACAAAATATCATTGATAACTACATATCACACGATGATATTATGAAACAAATTAAGATGTTAATTGGCTCTACGTGGCACATTCTCGATACATTTCCCAGAAGTCTTCGTTAGACCCCCAAAAAAGGATGAACACTTAACGGGAAATACAGTGACGATATAGATAGATCTACGAAGGAACAAATAAATACAAAGATCTGCTTGTGGCAACACTGACTTAGTTGTATGGAACTGTATTATCCAGGAATGTATGTATGATAAGCTGTGAATGATTTATATATTGTTTGTATGATGTATGATTGAGGATGATTTGTGAATAGCACGATGATTTATATGTGATATATGTATAATGTGTACATACGTATATATACATTATATATATATATATATATATATATATATATATAAATATATATATATATATAATATATATATATATATATATATATATATATATATATAGTTTCGCTCAAGTGTCGTTACTGTGCCATGTCTCGCTCAACTGTGATTGCCATAAAGTCCTACAGAAGAAAACATAGCCTTGCTCCGACTGACTCTATTTTCTGGTCTGTCAAGAAACTGTAGATGAGAGATGGGGCAGGCAATCAAAAACAGTGGAGCATACTCAAGGTGTAAGCCTCTACTGTCGAGCAGGTACGAGATACGCCTTAGATGCTGTTAGCTTCTTGGCTGCCTTGCTTGCCAGATTTACCACATAATTCTTCATAAACAGTTTGGAGTCAAATTTCACAAATGGATTATCCACCTTACCTCCATTTTCTAACACTCTTCGAATCATTCTTACCTCTGCTCCAGTAATAACATCATGGTGCCTAGAGATCATCTGTGTTTTTTCAGAAACAAATGTAAACTGCTAATGTTTTTCCCAGGTTGATATAACTGTAAGCTGGTGATTGATGCAATTGAGAGCAGTTGGCATTCCTCTCACGGATAAGTAAATACCAGAGTATTGTCGTCTGCATAGGTATGGGATTCTAGGATGAGGTGAAAAATGTCATTGAAGTAGACGTTCCACAATAATGAATCAAGCACACTTCCTGTGGAACACTGATACCCAGTGAGCGGTTCATAGACTCTGATCCACTCAGAAGAGTCTATATAAGACTTGAAGATAATCACTAAGGAGGTGTAGGGCAGAGCCAGACTCCCAGTGTTGGAAGTTTTGCCAAGAGTACCTGGTGCTATACTCGGTCCAAAGCACTAGCAATGTCCAAGTAGAAGCAGAAGACTTTCATTCTGAGGTGTCAAACTCCCAGGAAAGGTCTGGCCGGATTCCTCTCTCCCACAGCCAGGTTGTGCGTGATGATACTTTACCCAGTTCATTGGATAACCTGAGTGTGGTAAAGACAGCCTTTGTGATCGGATGAGTCAACAAGTGAGGTCTGCAAGTGACTGCGTGACTTTCTTCAGAGAGATCACTCATTACTGGATCTAGAGACGAGCAAGGGATATGATTGGGGGAGTCTACAAAAGTTTCTCATGTCAAACACTGCAAGAAGTTCACCAAAATCCCTCTACATAAGATGCTGGTTAAGGTACCCAGTAATTACGTGGCATGCTGAATACAATGTAATCTGCTTGTACACTGTACAAGCTTTGTATAGAAATACTAGGCTTTATCAGTCTCTTAAAACTCATGAACAGAAACTCAAATATTATTTCTTATTTTGATACGTATTTTTTTACAGAAAAGGGGTCCAGTAAAACAGCCAAAGGCCTCAACGACTAAAAGTACCACTAACAGGGTCATCATATAACCAGCATCCGCATCCGGAGAACCTCTCAACGTTTTCCTGATAAAACACCACCACGCCTCTGTAGGACCTGATACACGACACCCTTGAACGATAACGACATGACACAGCTGAACGACGCGTCTTTCAAAGTCTGTCGTGGTTCGGCCAAACGTTTTAATATCCGGTGTTTACTCCATGTTGCAAAATGCATAATGTATAGGGTATGATCTTTGGTGTATGATGCATCAATATGATGAAAGGTTTATATCTTTCATGCGATGTATACATAATGTATATGTGGTGTATGATGATTCTTGATGTATGATGTATCATGTGTAATATGTAACGTTTGTTGGATGATGTATGATCTATGAAGTACGATACATAATGTATGCTACATGATTTATGGTGTATTCTATATGTATGATAAATAATGTATGATATACATGATTCTCGTTGCACAGCACATGATGTAAGCCACATGATACGTATTCATAATGCATGAGGTACGTCACGAGACACATGGTGTATATCCTGCAATGATTCACACATGAGATGCCCCACCTAGGCTGCATGGCAGTCTGATGTGAATGAAGGAATGAAGTGAACTGAATGAAGCGTGGATCAGAATCTAAGCAGCGTAGCTCTAACAGAAACCAGAAGAAGCCGTTATAAGTTCGCACGATATAAGTTCTTACGATTTACGATATCTACAAGTCTTTTATTTTCAAAGTATGTTATGTATTGTAATAACATATTACAAGCATCTAAACTGCAACAGTATCAAATACAATCAAATTAATTGCAGCAGCAACAACTAGCATCTAGCTGCGTGTATTTCCGTACGTTCCAGCACACTCATTTAAGTGGTAATTGCAATTAACAGCTTTCACTACAGTTATTCAATCTATCCACTTCTACACACTAGATAAATCTGTATTTCTGAAATCCCCGAGAAAAGTACAGGAGTATTTCAGGATACATTAATCTTTTGCCACCAGGTTAGATGTCTGTGTGTCAAACGTACATAATAATGGACAAAAATTTTATACATAAGGACAATAAATTTCAAGACGACATAAAATTTAAGGCACCACAATTTTGAGCCGTATTCAGGGCAATCCATATTTACACTTTCGTTTACAATAGCTGAATACTAACTCTGACTTTTTCCTAAGCTCACGTTTCCATTTTTTTATCAGCTCGTGAAGGTATAGGGCGAAATTTTAAAGGATTTTTTAATGTGGTATCAGTGAGTTAAATTAAGATTTATTTGCAAGAGATGACGCCATTTTTACATCACCAGTAAACAGATTTTTCAGGGATAACTTAAATATTCACCAAAGAAAACGATTAAACACTTAAAATTATGCAATTATATAATTTACTAGTTTGTTATACACCACCACAAGTAACCTAGCAGCCAAGCATAAATTTGTTGAAATTAACGTAATACATAATATCAAATTTATCAAACCTATCTAAGAATTTCCATGATTTTAAATTAACCATTTTGTGAGTGGGAGCAAAGCTACAACTGCCTCAATTTTCCCACACAGAAATAATGCCATTATTCTCTGGCAGTTAAACGAGAAAAAAAAATTATCTGGGGTAAAGAACAAGATATTTTTTTCGACTACCAATGACAGATTATTTTAAATAGAGAAAAGAGCATCATTCCTCGAGTAGGCGTCACAACATTTCTTTACTCAATAAACAAGATACAGTAACAACTGGATAATCTATACTGAATACGGCTCGTAGTATACATCTTATATACACCATACCAACATCCACTAAACAGTAATAACGGCTAAGATACAATATAAATACATTAGCACTTGATTTCTCAAGAGTATCAACGGTGTCAACACAAACTTTAAACACTTAATACAATCAACACTTGTATTCACCGAGGCAAACTTGGATTACTGGCAACGAAGAAAAACTTAACTACAACAGCGTATTCCCGTTAGAAATTCATGTTATTAATAATTAAAAAAAAAGCTTCACTACGTTTTCTATACACGCTTCAAGGGTTGAACTACATTTTCTATGATACACGCTTTTAAGGGTGTGACTACGACAAACTTGTGTGAGAACAACCCGAGTTTTATATATACATATATATGAATAAAATAAACCACTGGTTGGGTTTAAAAAGGTTTAAATCCATAGTGAGAACATTTATAAAAAAAGTCTGAAAGTACGATTCAGCAGGATTAAAAAAAAAATCGTAAAAAATATGGAGAAAGAAAATGGGAAAACGGAAGCAGCAATACTGTTTTTCGCAAGAGAAAACAGGTGACAAAATATTACAAAAAAGGGTAAAGCAATAAAAAAAAAGGGGGAAGGTGTAGAAGGAAAGTGAAGCTGAGGGAAAACAACAATAATATCAACAACCATAAACCAAAAATACAGATAATAAAAATAACAGGGATAATGAAAACGGTATAAAATACCGTCAAGATTAAGACGCATGTGCAACAGTTGGGTATTTTTATTGTCGAAACGTCTCGCCTACGTGGTAGACTTCTTCAATTAAATAGAGAAATGGGTTGAAGGCAGTAGAAGTGACGAGGTAAAGATGATGTAATCAGTCCATTCAACCTTGTAGAAATAGTTTAAGGTTGTCAGAACCTCAGTCAGGAAAAGAGTTGAACTCTTCTCCAGGGACTGACCACCTCAAACTATTTCTACAAGGTTGAATGGACTGATTACATCATCTTTACCTCGTTACTTCAATTCATTCTCCATGTTAAACTGAAGAAGCCTACTGCATAGGCGAAACGTTTGAACAACAAATACCCAACTGCTGTACGTGCGTCTTATACATCAGAACTACTAGGCACAGGGGAAGACTTGAATTACAAATGACGGGTTATTCTCATCCAAGGTTCGAAGCTCGCTCAAAAAAATTATATATATATAAAAAAACAGTAGCGGATGCCAAAACAAATATGTGAAACTCCTCACTGATATGCTGTTGCTTCGTATATTCATCTCAACTCTTCAACGGTGTTGTTGATGACGGAGTGTTTGTGTGTGTGTGTAGACGATCTCCAAGAGATGTTTTACGACCCCCAGGAGCATTGGAGATAGGGAGAGGAGACAGACAAGAGAGGAAATGGAAGAAACAGAAGAGAGAATGGGCGAAAGAACACAAGTATGCTCTTTCATCCTGACGAACTGTGGCATATGGGAGATGGAGAGAGAGAGAAAGAGGAGAGTAAAGGGAAGAGATAGGTAAGAATGACAGACATGTCTTCCATATAGTGCGATTTGTTTCGTAAATGGGATTGCAAAACCTCATCCAAGACTGAGCTGCACTTGGAAAGACCTTCATTATACCAGCTACTCAATTCTGGATGAAGTTTTACAATGGCATTCATAATTACACTATAGAGAGGAACTTCATGAAACAGCTGAGTGTATTTCAGCTCTGGGAGTTTAAATAACTTCACAACATGGAGAGCGGTGAGAGGAAGAGCTTTTGAAGCTGGATCGCCTGGGGTATCGCCTCGGAGTACATCTCTTGGACTCTGCGTTCGCACACACACACTCTGACTCGCAATGGTTCGCTGGAAAAGAAGAACCGGTTCGTCTTACCTGTTGGTCGGCAAGTTGGGTTTGCTTGGGGGTGGTGGTAGTGGGTGGTGACTCAGTGGTGGTGGCGGTTGGGGCCTGTTTCTGCTCTGCTTCAATACTGCTTTGTAGTGCCTCTACCTGCTCTAGTGTACCTCCTTTAGTCTGCTGTTCGGGGACTCCAGGACTGCCGGTGGCTTCCTGGGGTTTAAGCTGGGAAGACGGCTGCTGGCCTCCCTTCGCCTCTCCTGTGCGACCTTCAGTGTGTTCCTCTAGCGGCTTTGTCTCCGGTTTTTGCCTCTTCGCTGGAGGAGATGGTTCCCTTTCCAAGACCTTCTGAGACTCTTTGGTGAGTTGCTCGAAGAGTTCTTCGTCTTCGGGTAGATCCTCGAACTCCTGGACTTCAGGGACGGGAGATACGACACCTGCGTCCTCTTCGTCGATGTCCTGCGACACGACGCGCAGTTCGTCGTCAAAGAGTAGGTCTTCGACCGATGCTGTCGTGTGGGGAAAAAAGGAACTTAACAAAAAAGTAACAAAAGAATGAACAATAATACATACTTTATTATACTATGTATACACAGTGAGGTGTATTTCTCTCAGCCTATGTATACTGAGTTTACTTAATCACTAGTGGTTAAAACGTTATGATCAGGTCTAATGACCCTCGTGTAACTGAAAGGAATCAAACCCCATTATTGAACCAATAAATAATTACAGAACTGACTTTGGTCTACGATGTACATGACATCTTTCAACTCTCCTTTATTCCCTCTACTCTGACGTTCACCAAAACATCAAAACAAAATGAAAAATCTATAAAAATTATAAGAGAAACAATTCACCTTTGAAAGTAAGGTTAAGTTTAAAGATTAAAACCGATGAAATAAAAATGACAATAAACCCGATCACTAGTGAGACTAATGAGGTTTATAATTGTAAAACAGAGTAGAGGAAAACTTCCGTAACTTAAAGTACATGTTTTAAAAGAGTGAAGTTGTGTGCTTCAAAGTGAGACACAGAATTCCTGAGTTCGAGAGGAAACCTGCTAGCCTTGAGGCACCTCACCCTTATTCTCCCAGCGGTATAAGTGAGACAGAAACGTTGTGGTTTAAGTCCTCGGGAGATCGCTGGGTTATCGAACTATCACACTCGCACACCCTAAGAAACAAACATACATGCACGCACACACACACACAAAACACACACACAAACACATACACACACACACACACAATACACACACAATAAAACACACACAATACACACACACACACCCAAAAACATACACACACACACACACACACACACAACACACGCACACACACACACACACACACACACACACACACACACACACACACACACACACACTCACACACAGGGGGGGTGGAGGAGTGGCGTTGCTGATCAAAAATCGCTGGAATTTTGATGAGCTGGAGAGAGGAGACAGCGGAGAAGAAAGTGATTACATAGTGGGAAGACTTCACTCTGGAGGTCCCAAGGTGGTAATAGCAGTGATGTATAACCCACCACAGAACAGCAGGAGGCCAAGGCAAGAGTACGACGAGAGCAATAGAGCGATGGTTGACACACTGGCTAGAGTGGCCAGAAGAGCTCATGCATGCAGGGCAAAGCTCCTGATCATGGGGGACTTTAACCACAAGGAGATCGATTGGGAGAACTTGGACCCACATGGGGGCCAAGATACATGGAGGGCTAAGATGATGGAGGTGGTACTGGAAAACTTCATGTGCCAACACGTAAGGGACACTACAAGAGAGAGAGGAGAGGATGAACCAGCAAGGCTGGACTTAGTATTCACCTTGAGTAGTGCAGATATCGAGGACATCACATAGAAAGACCCCTTGGGGCCAGTGACCATGTGGTTTTTAAGCTTCGAATACACAGTAGAGCTACAAGTGGAGGGAGAAGCAGGAAGGCCAGGACGAATGAAGCCAAA